GTTCACTGAATGAAGTTAGAGAATATTAACAAGGATAAGCTTCATGTAGCTCAGCAGAAAACCTAGATGATCATCATTCCCGTCACTTTCCCAATAATTTCTTGTACATACATACTCTACCTACTATTCACAGCAATCTGTTTATAGCAAATAGTCATATATCTATTTTTATTCCGTACTGTGTAGTTTCCGAAATCACAGACGTGTACTCATAGTTCTCACGCTATGACGGTACTAGCAAATATGACCGTATAAAAATTCATGTAGCTAAGGTGTCTGTCTGTCTCTCAAATTTCACATAATCACAAGGAATTAAAAAATCAGTGAAGGTATAATAATAATTTTAGCCATTATTTTTTTCAACTTGCTACAATCTATCCTAAGATAACTAATTGTTCAAAGTAAACATTCCGCTCAGACCACAAAAGGAATCCATTATACAAACATATAATTCACAGTCATTTTTAGTGGGTTGTAAACAGTTTGGAATGAGTATAAAATGGGACAAAAATCAAAGTGAGCATTTTGAAATGAAAAAGTGTTTGCTACAAAAGGTCAGTCCCTTTGCTTGGCAAACTATGTAGAAAAGCCTGGGAAAATGCTGATCACACAAGCAATGAGGGGATTTTGAAGCCAACAGCCTCGTTGTTTCTTTAAACAGACATCGGAACCTATAACTGGATCCTGTCAAACAAACGACAGCAAAAAAATATAACAGCTGCCACGAAGTCAAATTGAGAGATAAAGCTTTGGAGGCTAAGGACCTTCTCAGAAGTGGACTAAAGGGCTTGCTGAAATCTTTAAGCAATGTTACGGGTCCCAGGGTATCTTCTGGGCACTAAGTCAAGTATGTAACTTGTGTTTCATTCCTGTCATATCTTTATGTGTTTGAGAGAAGGACACACACACACACACACACACACATACACACACACGCACACAGAAAGGGCAAACTTCTTGTTGGTCAGCAATTGCTGAAGCATTCTGAAAGCTATCTTGTATCTCAAATCATTAAGGGTGGAAAACATGGGAATACACACACACACACACACACCACACTCTCACCCCCACCCCCCACACATTCACGCACAGTAGGGCTGGTGAGAGGGCTCATAGGGTAAGTGTATGCCACCAAACCAGACCATTTGCGTTTGATCCTTGGGAACCACGTGATGGAAGGAGAGAACCAAATCCTACAAGTTGTCTTCTCATTTCCACACTCATGTTGTGGTATGTACATTCAGGAACACACAGACACAAGCACACACACTGAATAAGAAAATTAAAATTGTGGTTAAAAAGCATATAATGTAAAATAATTATTTTAAGTACATATTTTAGTAGTGTAAAGTATATTCAGGTTGTTGAGTTCCAGATCTCTCGGTAGCCTCTTCTGGGGCCCAGGAGCAGAACTGGCAATCATAGAGGAGCTATCACAGTATGTTATGGATACTGAATGCCAACAGCATTTATATTAATTTTAAAATTCAGTTGTATTTCCTTACATTAAAAAATTGTACTTGATGTACAAAACATATTTAGTGTATAATTGTGTTCATTAATTTAGTAAACTCTATCTCTCTAGAAAAGAAGTCTCTGGCAAGGTCTGCGTTTGACTTTTCATGTAAAACATGTCTTTCCAGGTATCACATATGGCTAACATATTTTACTGTTACCACACAATGGGTTCAGATAGAAGCTTTGTGAATAAAACCAAATTAAAATTCTCCTGATCCTACGTGGAGGGCAAAACAAACAAGCCTGTGTTTATGGTTTAGGATTTGATCAATTACTTTAAAGACACACATCTTTGTTTGCGTTTCAGATTTTGTAATGGTTTTCCTAGCTTCTTTACCTGCTCTTTCCTCTCAAAGCTCTTATCTCAGCATGTGCTTTATCTTTAGTGTCTATTTCTTCTACGAGTTTAGTTCATAACGGGAAGTACAATGCACATCTAGTGACTACTCCCTCATTCAACATCCAAGGTGTCTTTCAGGAAGAAATCCAAGTTGAGACGTTCATTGCTCAATTTGAGTACCCCACAGAGAGTCTTCAACTATGAAAGTAAGGCAGAGAGAAGGAGCTGCAAATATAAAATCAATGTGATTCTTTGTACGAAAGTATACTTAGGGCTGCACAAACAGCAAAAAAACAAAAAAATGGCAGAAGTGACTGTAGTCTAAATAGCTGGGAAAGACAATATGGCCTAGCAGTCAAGAGTATAGTGAATCAAATTGAGACAAGGGAATGTACCAGGTAAGTCATTTGGTTTACAGGCTTACTTAGCCATTTTTTCTACGTTACGTACAAAAGATGCCAAAAATTGAATGTAACTAATACCACTTTACTGAAGCTGAACGAGGAATATGCTTCGTGCTAGTCGTCAGACAGAACTTCCTGGGAGACCCCAGAAGCCAAGCACGGTTTGGTCAGACTCAAGCAGTCAGCAACCGGAGAAGATGACGGAATCAATGCTGAGTTTGTCTGCCCTACCTGCTTCATTTTATAATAAATATATAAGCATTTAAAAAATACTGCTTGAGTTTTATAGGTGCCTTGAAAAAAAAAAAGAAAACAATAACGGGGGGAAAATGAGGAAGGAGTGAAATCCTTTCTATAAGAGCCAACGTGCCCATATTATGAACCCAGAGGCCATTTTCCCAAGACTGGGAGAGTGAACGCAGCTTGCATTAAATGGGCCTTTCCTAGAATGGACCCATAAGCATTTCCCATGACCGCGCAGTTGAGTTTCTTGGCTGGAGGAGCATCTGGCCATTAGAAGGAGCACTCCAGATATGCTGAGTCCCAGCCACGCCGAGAGACTTGGCACCCTCCCCTGCTACTTTCTAGTACCAACCCTGCATCAAATGTCATCAGAAGCCTGCATAAATATTGGACTTAGATTCACATAAATTATTTCTGTCCTGAGGTGCAATATGCCAAAATTTAGTAAAAACAACACTTCGAGTAAACAGCATTGGCATGTAATTGTAAGAATATTAATCCAACGAAATGATCATGGAAAAATACAATAGAAAGTACACACTTGTAAATCTTGCAAGGATGTGAGACGTTTGCCTTGTGTCTTTGAGTTCTTATTGAACATTTCCATGGAGTTCCTTTAAGCTTACACTGCCAAAGTGCTTTGAATTTTCAGTGGCTTTGCAGAATTAAAAAATGTCTTTGTGTTTCATTAGGATGCTCGGGAATTATTTTAATAATCGTATGTGTGATTAGCAGCTGTTTAGCGCTGGATCTACAAATTCATTTTGAGAGTAAACATTGGGACAATAAAATATAGTGCTGTCATGATTGCTCCTGTCAGCAGAAACATCATCTTACCTTATTAAAAATCACCATGAAAATGCCATGCATAGATACAATCCCTATTTATAGACAGTTTCTATTCTGTGATAGTATGGTATCTGTACCCTGCAAGGCTACACCAGGCAGGGCTTTTCATTTTGCCTTAGGTAGACTCACAAATAGAGATATAAGCTATTATTTCCATGTGCATACATCTTACTATGTTTGACCTTCCCCAATGGCCTATTTGAATTTTGTTTTTGATATAACATAATAATGTTCATACCATTGGTACTCAGTATTTAAAGGTGAATGAAGATTTCTTGGAAAATATGATAATTTAACTATTGGAAATAATGACAACCTTCTCAGCTGCCCATTTTGGCTTTAAGTATTTTAAAATAATGTTTATTCCTGAGATAGGTACCTATAAATGAAATGAAATGGCAACAGGCACTAAAAACACATTTCCCTCTTAATTCCAATCAGCTTCATTCTGCGCAGGCACTTCTCTCGGTGCTTATTCTACAGTAACTGTTTCCTGTTCTCTCTGCTCTCAACTCTTCAACGCGCCTTTCCCCACAGCCACGGTCTTTATCTGTGTCCCTACCCAACCCTTCCCCTATTGTTATTCTCTCATTCCCTACTGATAGGGGAATAATAGGATCCCAAGGCTGTCCTTACAGTATAATTAAAGTATGAATTTCTAGGAGCTAGAAATTGCATGCCGTTTTTATTATGCTTCTATAATAAAGCCAGGTAACACCGAGAGAATTAAAATGGCCTTTTTCTGAGCAGAGGATTTGAAGATCTTTTTTCCTTTGGTTGTATTGTTTTAGGAGAATAGGTGTTGAAAATGGAAATAGGGTCAGCCATTGCTTTTCTCTGCAAACACCTCTATGTTTCGCATGATATATATTCCCCTAGATCCTGGAAATATGTTGTAAACTTGTAACAGATGGTGATGAAGCTTCACATTTTTATTTAATACATTTTTTTTTAAGATTCTGCATTTACAGTGTGTGTCTTCCAGGAAAAATGACCTTGAATGGATGAAGTCATAGTTCGAAGGAAAAACACTCCACAGATAAACTAGCATAGAAATGATGAGTCAATTGGGGTTTGTTTTGTTCCCTTCCGTGAGATGAAATAATTTCAGATGAAAACAGAATGTTGAAACAGAGGAGTCAAAGGTCATCTTAACACTAGAGGTGTATCTGCTAATTGTTCCAGGAAACCCAGTTAGCTGTAATCTGCACTGAGCAGAACCATGTGGAAGACTGTGCATCGGTATCTGTGGGTGGAAACGCTATTTACTTCACTTGGGTAATGCTGGGGGCTTACCAAAATGGTTCTGGCAAGTCTACCAGCATGAATGTCAGAGGGTTCTAACACCGAGAGTGCTGATATTTCATGAATGTTTTATCACTGGCTTGGAAGCAAGAAGTTTGCAATTGATTCAACAGTATGTCAGACAGACAAAATATTAAAAAAAAGAAAAAGAACATTGGTGAGAATTGCTGATGTCCCTATTGCAAAAAACAAACCGAAGTTAATAAGAAACTTGATCCTCTTAGGCGATTAACAAAAGTCAAGTTTTAATTGCGTGGCTTCCCTGAGAAATCAGGAGGCACCGTGAACTCGAGCCGTAGCTGTTCAGAGAACACGGCAATGCTGAATATTTAGTTACCCACCTCGTTTTTCAACAGCTTCAATGCACTGCTTCACAAACCATGGAACTGTGGAATGTTCCCGTTCACACACTGTGTGCAGATGAGAGCCAAAAGTTTGATCTGCAAACGAAACAAAGATGAGTTTCATTAAAATCCAAGCCCGCGTTGTTCTTTAATTTGATTCTGCTTCCATAGCCAACACTGCGCTCTTCATCTCGCATAGGAATTGATTTCTGCTTCAATTTCAAAGTGTCTCTGGCAGATGTATAAGGACTGCGTGTCCCTTTATGGAACGGCACCCCGATCTCAGTGTAAGAAAACTAGCATGGTCATGGATTAGGCGTGGAGGAAGAGTGTCTAAGTGTGTTTGAAATCCTGCATGTTTTGGAAGTTTGTCAGCAATTATTAAAAATATACTTTGGTCATTATAGTTGAGGCATTCATCCTGCAGAGTTATTTGAGGAGTCAGGTAGAAGCAGAGAAAGCACTGAAAAGCCAACCTCTTAGTGTTTCTCCTGTCTTGAATGCTCACCCTCTTGTCTGATTTAAGTATCACCTTTGCGACAAACCTCTGCTCAGAGCTTCCCTAAACCAGCCTGGCCTCTCCATTGAAATAGCCTCCCTGGATAGCAATTCCTCGGGTTGTTCAACAGATGCTGTAGACAACAGGGCTCGTCCTCAAAATGGCTCAGCAACATCAAATTAAACCAAGTTAAACAGAGTTTAAGATAAGTATTAAAAGTGCTTTGATTTGCTAGAGCCCTGTCATATGTGAGTTTCTTTAAGAGGGAGGAAGGGATAATATCCCTCGTACTTCTTTTGTTAATATCCCTTTGTTTCAGAGGGCATCTAACTAACGAAAGCTGCTGTAAGTGGGGGGCGGGGGGGGGGTAAGACCTCAGCCCCTCCCTCTTTCCTCCAATAGCTTTTCTGCATTTGTAATTAATGGAACTCTGAGTTGAACTTCAACTTGGTTCTGGAGGTTCCTTTATCAAAAGCGCCATTCGACAGCCAGGGGTACTACTGAGAGGTGATTGGATCAGAGTCCTCCTGATCCAAATACTAGATACATAATTGGATGGAGTCACTGGAAGGTTGTGGCAACTAGACACTGGTTGGAGGAAGTACATCTTGAGGGCATGCTTTTGGAAGGTACATCTCTTCCTTGGTTCCTGTCTGTTTCATTTTTTTCCTCCTTACTCTTATGCACTGAGCAATCGGTTTTGTGATACGTGGCCTCGCTGCAATGCTACACATTCCCTTGCCACAACGCACTGTTAGCCCAAAGCAATGGATCCTTTTGACTCTGCACTGGACCCAGAAGCTAAAAGAACCTTTTCCTTCCATAACCGACTTTCTCAGGTACTGTGTTCCAACAGCAAGAAAAGTGACTAATACAGAACCATCTCTCTATTTCCAGAGCCCAAGTGTCTGAATCACCCGTTATTTTGTAGTTGCCAGGGCTTAGTACTGCAGTAGACACTCATAGACTGTATTTTAAAAATAATCATAAAATATGCACCATGTACCAAGTGTGCACAGACTTGAGGGGCACTAAGTCCATCCCGAGTATTGTGTAACCATCGCATTACTCACTTCAAGATCTCATTTCAGTAGCAATGATATGCAATATGAACACCGAGACTAGTACGTGAAGAGTCTAAGGGTGTCCATTTGGATCAGAATGAGGCCTGGTCCCCCTATGACTTCTCATGCTATCCCTGATTTGTCCTCCACTAACTGTTTTCCTTTTAGCTTTCTCAATCTCCACGGAAACTAGTCTTGTTTTCTGAGTGTCTGTTTCTAATCCCTTACAAATACTTTGTCCCTGGGGTTGTGTTCTCATTATCCCCTCTGGGTGGAACTCTCTTGCTCCAGTCTTTGATCAAATGCTATCTTCTCACTGTAGTCTTTTCCAGCCACCTCTCAAAGACTGAGCCACTCAATTTCACTTTCTATGCCAGTATCTCTTTATTTGGGGATGGGGCTTACCTCCCCTTGAGATAATAGACCCATGTTGATTGTATAGTTTATTTAACTCGCTAAGAATTGAAATTCAGAAGGGTCAGAGTAAAACATTTACTATGGATCTTTTCTTAGAAGCAGGCAATGTTTGGCACATAATGGAAATTTATTAAGCATGTTTTGAATTGGCAGTGGGGATTTTGTAGAAAAATTTAAGTACACAGGAATGCGGAGACAAGATATAATAGTGTATAGCAGAATCCTAAGGGCCAAACTATTTTGATGATGAAGACACTGAGATTTCAGGGGAGCTGGGTTTTCATCTGTTACTTAGGAAAATGTATTCCTATGTGCTGGTAACAACAACATAGAGGGTATCAAGTAAGGCTAATGCACTATTAATAACACACCCTGATGTGGAAATATGTGTGTTTATACAAGAGACAGGAAGAAGATAAACTCAAAATGCAGAGAGTATAAAAATGGCAAACAATTGTATATGCTTTGAACAGTTGATGAAGTAGCAGAGATTTGTTCCAAACGGTGAGCATCCCTATAATAAAGAGTGACATGAATATTACCTAAGAAAAATTGTCTAGGGCTTCAGATTAAACATTTTAAGTTGGATAGAGTTCACAGTCAGGAAACATGACTACAGTATGTAAACCTGTTAATAGGCTTCATTATTTTAGTCTATTGCCCAAATCTTGATTGACTCTTCTCTTTGCACAGCAATGAAGGAGGCACTTGAAGTTGTAAAACGACACTGCAATTTTTCTAATATTGCAGGGTTGATACAGCATGTGCCATAAAAGGTGTTGAGTGGGAATAATAATGCAATATATATATATATATATATATATATATATATATATATATATATATATATATATCGGTGTATGTCTTCCATGCCTTCAGGAGATGAAGAGAGACAGAGACAGAACTACATTGAATGGAAGTCATTCAAGAAAGTAGATGCAGTCATAAAGTGAGTGCTAAATTTCCAGAAGGACTTTGTTTTCTTTTTTATGTGGGTATAAGAGAAAGATGGAAACTTTAGGACATTGTCTCTTTGTTTATTATCTGGAAAAGACAATCATGAGGGCCTATTCTGCAGTATAATAACCTCAGGATCCCATATAATTATGATGTTACACCCTCCTCATCCTTTAAATGTATCCTGTGCAAGATACTGATACATATGGGAAGAACATGTGATCATGAATTATGATGTGTCTGGGGTAGTAAAGGTGCATTGTGGGCTTATATAGGAAAAGGGAAGACTAGCCTTACCCAAGGACAACTTCCCAAAGAAGAGGCGAATCCTCACTAATAAGTAGGACTTGAGAAAAAATCATGAGAGGAACACAAGCTCATTTGGAGAGATGGAGGACACTAAGTGCCAGCACTTGGGGAAAAGACAGTATGACCAGAATGCCCTTTTCAAAAAAAAAAAAAAAAACTAAAACTAATGGTTTATTGAAATCTTGATGAATTACGCTTAAACAGGAGATGAAGATTGTATTCTGAAGTGTCTTATATTTTGTCAACTAAGTTCAGTAATTTGACAAATAATAATTATGTCCTATAAGTATTTCCTTTGTAATTTACTTTCTTGTTCTGAGAATTCACTCAGGATGACCAAATGACTCCATAGGTAATGGCCCTTGCTGCTGCCAACCAACCTGGATAAAAACCCTCTGATCCACATGGTGGAAGAAGATAACAGCTCCTGAACATTGTCCTCTGATCTCTACACAATAAAAGTGGCCATTCAGACACCTTTACACATACATCTTCATGTGCACACAAAATCAACCAATAGAAATAAAACAGAATTTGTAAGGCACAACCCAAGAATGATCTCAATTGAAATCTACGTCCCTGCATCTCTGGTTGATGGGATGGTCTAGACAAGAAACAGAAAAGCGATTTGGGGTGTGTGCAGAGATTTTGCTTTCTTATCCTATGAAAAGATTGTGGAGAAGGAGCCACTTTCCTTTCCTTGTTTGCACTTGGGACATCACCTTGTGATAGTGCTTGGGTCAAGTGGAGCGCTGCTGTCACTATGGGGCAACGGAGAACCAAGGCTAATTTGCTTTAAAAGAAAGCAATGGAACTTATTATATGCCAGCAGTGAGACACTTCTCTAGATTTCTTACATACCATTGTTCCTACACAATATGGAGTAATATTAGCAGGTTGCTGGGACTTTTGAGTTAAGCATGTGTCATAACCATAGTTCTGCTTGAGGAAGTCTGTTTGATGGATTTTAAAGAACATAGGGGTAGAGAGACGAGTGGGTAATTAGATACTAGGGTCTGATAACTATTGTTAAATAGGCAATGCACAGTTTAGGAAGGATGTTATGAATACCAAGCCAGGGTAAGGGTGTAAATTTCTTTTAGTTCATGATTTTCATGTTTTGGGAGTTAGAGTGTGAATTTGTACCCCCTACCATGTAACCATAAGGTTCCATTGATTAGCATAAAATGTATTCATTTCTCTTCATATCCTTTGACACTGGGCTTGATCTGTAGCTAGCTTGGAGTGATAAGATGTGAGCAGAAATGTATTTGATCAGTTCCAGATGAAAGCCTTAGAGAGCCTGCAGTCTTTTACCCACTTAGTCACTTCTGTGTTGTTACTCACAGACGTCTTCCCTGGCTGGCCACTGTCCCGTTAACTTGGGTTCCATGAGAAACATGTATGGCCAGAGCTGAAGCTAATGTTCAGAAGTCCAAGCAGACTGTGCATTAAAGCAGTTCTGCCAAGCCAGGCCTTTTCTAGGTCATGCATACCACACCCCCACTGCAGAACCATTATATTATATGCTGCAAAATTTGTTTATTATTTAGCAATATCTCACCAATTCAACTTCAACTGGAGTTCAAGGGTATGGTAAAATGTGGTTTAACCTGAAATGTCAAGGGAAAGGAAAAGAAGCAGCAGAACATAAAAAAAAAAAAAAAAAAAAAAAAAACCTGGAGAGAAAATGATGAAAACAAACACAGCAAAAACCATACAATTCTCCCCAAAAAAGAGGAAGTTTATGCTTAGTTTGAGTTGTTTATGGAGAGATCTCAACTTAAGTTGTTTGTACCTTAACATTTATATTTGTTAGAGGAGGCAAGAAGGATAGGCAGGAGGAGAAC